TCTTGGCTGTAAATACTGAAGGACTGTTGTCTCTCTTCAATTCCTGAAACCAACAAAGACAAATTTGTGACGCGAAAATAAAGGAAAACAGAAGGGCAAAACTTACCTGTCTCAATTGTTCAATGTCCTTCATGACGAGATTGAGTGCAGTGGCGACCATCTGTCTGGCCTCCACAGACAAACCATTCATAGGTGGCTCTTTCATGTTGATTTGACCACGGTTTTTCTTGGAGTTGCGCCGACAAGCCTTTAGGTAGGCGCGAATACGATTGCGATGGCGTTTCGCCTCCAGGTGAGGCCATGCCTTGGAGCATATGCGCTCCAGTGCGTTTATCGCATTACGTGGTTGCTCACAAAAGGTGATGGTCCGATCTAGTGTTTCATCAACTAATTTTCGTACAAAGTTCTATAAACAGAAGTCAGAAAAAGGTGCCGCACATCATATGACTTAAAAGAACCGTATCTTAGCAGCATATGCACTCTTTTTGTTATTATAGCAAGGAGGAACAATCGCGTCAACTCAAGATGTGCAATAAAATTCAAATGTCAATCATAGTGCTAAAGTCGGCACTTAATTTTCAGTTTAAACGCAACGAACGATACATGGCCAGTGCAATTCAAGTACTTTCTTTCAGCACAAAGCTACTTATACTCCGTAACCATAAATTAATAATGTCGAATAGTTACATTGTAGGCAGCAACAAGGAGTTCTGAGCCAATGCCACCATTACCATCTTCAGTCTCATTTTCGTCGTCATGGCCGTGAGAAAAGGTAGCCTGTGGTTTAAGGCTGTTGAAAAAATTCTGGCTATTCATTTCCCCTCTTAGAGAGAGTGGAATATGATGATGATGTTGGTGATGTTGAAAATCCGTTCTCCTAGACTGTGGAGGCTTTAGAGGAGGAACGGTGGGATAGCCAAAGAATTGATGACTTAAGGGTGGCTCTCTGGAAATTAGATTGTTCGGTGAGGTAGAAACCGGTTGAGGAGAAAAGGGTTTTCGGTTGGCATTAGCCTGAAGTGCGTAGTCCTTTTCCTCTTCAGAACACGTGGAAGTGCTGCCATCATCCACCGATTGCGAGGTTTCTCCTGTCTTGGGTTTCTGAATTGATAAAATAGCCCATTACTTTAGTCCTAAAAAACATGGGATAAACTTGCTAAAAAGCTTGCCTACTTTATAATAGTTAGTAGAAATATATTTGTCCTCTGCAGCCTCTCCAAAGACTGAGCTGGAGTGCCTTTTTTGAGCCGAAGGCACCCTACTGAATTCATCGCTGCAAAATTGCTCTCCGTAGAGAAAACTTGAGTACTTTGGTAGCTCGTCTTCCTTACGAGCTTCAGGAATACGATTTTGGCAGGTAGGAGACTGAGTGACCTACGTAAACATTTTTAATGCAACACAGACGTAACTTGTAACGGATCAACGATTTTGTATAACTCTGAATCTATGCGCAATGAGCACATTTACGGGATTAAAGCCGCTCATGGTATATATTCGACAGCTATGAAGAAAAACCTCAAAACTCCGCTTTAATGTTGTACTAACATTGTGTGATTTTTTCGAGGCTGTAAGGCCTCATCAGGAAATGCTTTTATTTATGCAAAATTTATTTACAAAAATGGAAATGCTGACAATGAAAATACTTAGGATCTTGGATTATAGGATTGTTCGCGCAGACATTGAAACTCCATTGTTAACTTACATCGTTTTTCGAGTCCTCATTAAACGTTTTGCGAAAGGGCGACTGTCCCCCCTTTCCCACTACACTCATCGCACTTTGCATTATTCGTTGTCCCAATGTTTAAGCTAAAAAGGTGAAGATTTACTTAAGAGTGTATCCGAGGTTCGATTTTCTAAATAAGTTTTTTTGCAAACAGTATGCATCTTGGTCGAATGAGCTCTGATGAATCCTTTCGAGAGAACTTAGAGATAGTGAAACGAGAATTTAGTTTTCCATTCCCCGCATTCATTATGAGGGTGAGGTTGCTGCGGAGGTTATTGTTAATATTAGATGGTGAATCATCCTGTCATTTGAGATGAAGGTTGGACATCACTCCTGACCAGGTCTTTCTGACAGATGCTCAGTTTAGCTCACTAAACGAATTTCCAATTTTCCTTCCCTCTCTACCCCGCCCCACACTTTTAACAGTCGCCAACTCACAAGACATATGCTAACAAGACGTCCCAGTAGGTGACAAGTCACTCTGTCTTCCTGCAATTTTATGGCGCCGGGCATTAAAAGAAAGGCAATTAATGCCTCTCTTTTTACATTATCCAATGCTTGAATTCAGCTTTACCTAATTTTTATTGATGAATTCCATGGAACAGCAAAGTTGCTTTTTCTTTGTTTTAAAGTCGTGCCATACTTGGGGATGTTCTCCGATGTTGATGATTTGCTAGTTTCGTCAATTGGAGGAGTGGTGTGGCTAATGCGGAAGCAACGGTCAGCAAAGGGTGACCATGGAAGCCGCTCGGGCAGTGGCGATCCTCAGCCCTCTCAGCTCCCCCTACGAACTCACATTGGATGGACTACCTCAGACTAAGGATTTGATTAACACGTTACCTGTCTTGTAAGCAGACTGAAAGTGGAACTAATTATTTAGTGGATTTGGTCATCCTTGAGCCCTTTATAACCACGAACGTACAGAATAAAACTGTGCCCAGAATCGGAACAGTTTCGTGAGAAGGAAAAGATTCTTTTGACAAAAATTGAGGCATCAACTCCTGACAGTTATCAAAAGGATGTTTATGTGGATTGGAAAAAAAGTTGTTGAGGATTGTGGTGTAAAGTACTGGCCGGCTAACACTCTGTTAGTTTGAAATACATTTTGATTTGAGTTGCCCACTTAGTTGATGAAAGCGCTTTGACATTCGTCAAAACCACGAGCAGAATTTCCAAGGAGAAAATATCAGTCAAGAGCAACCATTTCAAGGTAAGCAAAAAGAGGAAATCGGTTCGAAATCGGGCTTTTGCTCAGCTCATAAATTATCATTCTCACTGCCCTACTTCGGTGTTTGACATTTATCGCCTTTACCATGTGTCATGCATTTGAGAACTCGGGGTGTGGGTAGGAAAACGACCCAAGTCTTTCTAGTTTGAATGCAAAAAGGGAGATGCGTACACATTTTGCTTCGCGTCAAGGTGAAGAATCGACCAGCACCTCCTTTCAACAAAAAGACCAGATGGAGGGGTTCGAAAAGGTCAGGGAATTGGGGAAAAAATGAAGCGCAAAAGTTTTCACGGAACGAGCCCTCCTGCAAAAGCCCAAGTTGGGTTTCAGCAAGGTGGGCAGGTGATTTGTCACAAATGGGCTTTCTTTACGAGAGAGGCTAATCCAAGGCAACGTAGCGAATATTTTATTTTTCGAAAATCATTTGACGCCTTTATTTCCAGAAAACAACTACCATCCTGTACTTTTTAGAAGGCAGTTTTTGGTCCTAAAACTCCCAACCTTAAGGTCTTAACACATAGAAACGAAGATTCCGCTTTTGAGACCACCGAATATCCTTTCAGAGGCGTCTTAGACTCAAAATGAGGGGGATTTTTAACATCTACTTCCATTGTACGCTTGATGAGAGGGGAGAGCCGTCAAAGTCTAGTTTGAAATGATGACATGGAAGTGCCTGCATAAATCTTACACAATTGACGTCTCAGAAACCGAGTTATGCGTGTGTTTTCTATAGGCCAAGCGGATTTGTTAGAAGGAGATATTTGGCTCGGAAATAAGCAGATACAAATCGAATGCGGGAAGTGGGGGTTGTGATTAAGTAGGCAATCAAAATGATGATGACAGGCGTACGCAAACAGCAGCAGCAGCAGCAGCGGCAGCAGCAGCAGGGGATGAGGTGAAGGAGGAGGAGGAGGAGGAGGAGTGACTGGGGGAGAGGAAGAGCCGTCAGGTTTGCAATCTGAGGCGCATCAATCAACACCACCCCTCATCCCTTGTGCACCTTCTCCCTCTGCATGAGGGTACTGCTTCCGACCACACACAAATGCGGGCGTTAGCGCTCGAACACCCTATTCGCGACATTTCTCATTGTTATATGCCACAAATAGCTGTCTATCATTTGATGTTGGGGGCACAGTCATCACTCACGGTTGAGTTAGTGTACTTGTGGGTGGGCAGGGCTGAAAGAATCCAGTTGTGAATCGTTCCCCTAAAACGCCTGTCACCATTTGGGTCAAACTGCTTCAATTTAAGATGCGAGATGTTGGCGATCACTTCCTTCTCGTAACTCGGGATCTCCCAATTCTCGTACCGGAAGAAGCAAAATCATTGATACTATTATAGCTAAAAAGCACACTTTTCTACCTTTGAGGAGTCCCTTAGGCGATCTGAGATGTAATAAAGATGAGACATGGTGAGGCGTGGATTTTAAGCAATTTTGAAGTCACGCCCGCATCTTTTACTAGTTCTATGGTTTGAAATAGACCAAAAGCGTAGCAACTTTGCTTAGTTTAACATAAAGGTATAAAAGAACA